GGATGCTAAGCTGGAACAAAGAGTTTGCAGTAGCTGCAAGCTTGTAAATACTGATAAATAAGCTAGCCACAGTATTTTACAATCAGCGCAGCGTACATAAATATATTACGAAAAACTAAAATATTATGATGTCGAGACAACTAGGGGCTATGCAGTCGATACCAAGCAAAAGCTAAAACTGCAGGCATGGTGGCAGGATATCGGGACAGCAAATATTCCCATAACCTCACTGTATTGAAACTCACGTACAACCTGAGGGGATGCGATTCTGCTAATACCAATGAGAAGAAGGAGTAGGAACAGACAATACCGCGCCTACCGTTAGTTCTGTCTGTGTAAAGACGAAACAAAACAAGAGTACGAAAATGCTGGAAGGGTACCAGGTAAAGAAAGCCCTTGTACTGTGCACCGAACATATGAAAATGTAGCCATTAGAAGTGTAGCCATTTCTTTATCTGATCAATTCTTTAACTGAAACAGCGTATTAGACCGAGCGAACTAGGTGTCATTTATAGAGGTGTCGCTGTATCATTTTGTTTGAGGCAGTCTCATCAATTAATTCATACTTCTCCGTTCAGTATGCAGTAGATTTTCATTTCTCGATATCGCGTGAACAAATTATTCGATTCCTGTGCTGCGGGTAGCAACTTAAAGTGCACGGTCAGCGCTTCTTGCTGTAATTTTTGTGACTCACGTTTTTAAAAGTCAATGTTAGCGGGTTTTTAATGGATGAAGACATTACCGATGAGTTAAAGAATTAAAGAGTTCAAACTCTTTGACTCATCGGTAATGTCTTCAACCATTCCAAAACCACTAACATTGATTTTTTTCTCAATGCAGTCCTCCTGTCATCAAGTGCCTGCGGCCGCACACCAAGGCGTATCTTCGACCGCACATGATAGTGGCCAAGCCCGAGCAGTGGGTGTCGGACATCGCTGCGGCTGGCGGTGACCAGTTCACCTTCCACCTGGAGTCGGTGAAGGACCCACTCACCCTCATTAAACAGATCCGCGACGCCGGCATGAAGGTGGGTCTGGCCGTCAAGCCTGTTACCAGTGCGGAGGCTGCCTTCCCGTACGTGAAGCTCGTGGACATGGTGCTGGTCATGACCGTGGAGCCGGGCTTCGGCGGCCAGAGCTTCATGGCCGACATGATGCCCAAGGTGGAGACCATTCGCGCCAAGTACCCGACGCTGGACATCGAAGTGGACGGTGGACTGGGCCCCTCTACGGTCGACGCGGCTGCGGAGAACAGGATCGTTGCTGGAAGTTCCGTGTTCAAGGCCGCGGACCCCAAGGCTATAATCTTGCAGATGCGAGAAGTACGGCAATGGCAACAGCGACGACCAGTTGACGAAGCTTTGAAAAGGTGGGATTGCAGACGTACTGTGAGTTCGTGGTTGTACAGGAATTAATCAGTAAGGTTCAGTCGAAACCTATCTGTTGAAATATTGTCAGTGCTAAAACCTGCTTCAAAGTGACTAAACCTTCTGCAAAAGCCGCGTAATCGCTGTCAAAGCAGATTCGTTCGGTACTCAGATCCGCATGAAACATGCGCTTGACTCGATCTTATCCTCTATCTTCAGCGAGCCGAGGTTTGCTCTGCAGGATTTCAAGTCGGGCACGTCCAGTCTCCTCGTGGTTGGCTGGCTGCTAACCATGGTTGCTAGTTCAAGACAGCTACTTCTCCAAGTTTCTTGCTCTTCCCACGGCGTGGTGGAGAGAAGCTGAAGCGTGTACCACTTAGATCATCATCGAGACACGCCTGGATATTCACACTCAAGCAGTCGATCTGGTCGGCGTACTCTGCATTCTCCTGGTTCAGTAGGTGTTCCTCGTTTCGGATCTCCGTCTAGAGCGATTGTTTACATGACTGCAGAGCCTGAATGGGAAATTCGTTGGGGAAGGAGGAAGCAAGTGACTCCCGCTAGTAGAGGTGCTTTCGTAGTATGAATTCCTTCCTCGGTTCCCAAGTGCACTGACAGACGATGACCGCGCTTGCAACGTTCGCCTTCCGAGCGTCGCGGACGACTGTTTCCAGGTCCTTGCGCTCCTCAGGCTCCATACCTTGAACACGACGCGACTGACGTGACGCCTCACCGCGTCCTCCGTCACCGCGTCCACTCTTCTTCGCCCCTCGTCCTCCAGGCATCTTGGTAGCTTGAAGTTGACGGGCACTCAGCACTTCTTCAACACTTGATTCCGGCGAAATCCTCGACAATCGAATCCGGGCACGCGCACCAGCTGAGGCGAGGCCGATGAAACCTTTGTCGCCCAGGGGGGTTCGTATAGCGCAGCCCAAGACTGTTCCCCAGGGGTAGACCCAGAGAATCGACTTGAGAGTCAACAGCAAGAAGATAGACCCAGAGATTTGCAGCCGCAAAGCTTTAAACCCTGAGAATCACACTCCTTGGTTGGCGTGGGTACCTTATGTAATCCCTGTCGGCTCGTTTGTCTTCGACGGAACGGCACTCCACCGGTTGTAAATGTAGCCTCGAAGAAGTGCGGGAGCGCACGTCTACTTCAGAACGCACCTCCACACCAAAAGGCAAACCCAGAGAATAAGATCCCCTGAAACCCAGAATATCACGAATTCAGGGTCCAGGATTTCAGTCAACGCTGGGACTTGGAACTCAGAAGACACCTTACCCAAATGCCCTCCTAGCTCGATAAAACCAACAAATACAGAGTATACAAACACTACAACTAGCCGTCACTTATTCTTTTGGACCCTTGGACGGTGGGTCACACACACACTAGGCTCACTCGAGTCTGAAATTCAGGGGCCTAGCTCCCCTGAGACTCACACAAACGCGCACCACCTCCAATAAAGGAGGAAAATACAATCACTATCAGTTACCTTCCCTTTACACAAGCAGTCAATACAAAATCCTGGAGGCGACTACCTAGCACCCCAGAATACCCTCTGGAATAATATGAAATGGGCTACCACGAGCACAGCAAGTGACCCAACTAGGATATGGAATAGATGGATCACCCCAGGAAGCTCAAGGCCGTCGCTGGTCACCACGTAACTGGGCTTGAGTTTGATGGAGCCCACACAAACGGCTGTCCTTCACCGTTGCTGTGCCCTTAGCGTCCCGCGGTCGTAGTCTCGGGTCCTCCGGATTTCCATCGGCAGGCTTTGCCGAAGTCACTTGCGCAGTACAGGGTAAAAGGAACTCTGGTTTTTATCAGCTACTTCTCTCTCTCTCTCTTCTTCGGGCAAATATCTTCTGTTCACTATGCTTGGGGTCAAATGTCTTGTCTTCAGTATACCTTGGGTTCAGCGGTCCAAACTTGCGATCGGCTTGCGAATCTATTGTCGCACGGCGTTGAAAGTGCCAATTGTGGGTCCTTAGACTTGGTTTAGTATGATGCAGGACTCCCTCTCGACTCCTTGAAAGTATCCAGTCTGCGCATCCACAAGGGTTCTTCAAGGTCACGCATCACTTTGATTGCAGACTGGCTTCGAACTGACTCGAGTCCCTGAAAACCGGGTGACACTCAGGGTCATCTTCTGAAATCCTGGGAATTCTGAGGAATCTTGGGGAACTGTGGGGATTTTTGGGTGTTGACTCGGGAAACACTTAAGTTCAGTATAGAGAGTCTGGATTTATGGTCCAAACCCAGAGAATCATCTTTGGAACTCTGGGTCACCTGCACTCAGGGAGGTGAACTCTGGGTCATCGTGCGGCACTCTGGGTTTCCGTGCGGCACTCTGGGTAACAAGTCTGCTGCATTGCAGGCTCGTGTGTATCCCCACAAAGCCACACTTTTAGTGGGTTTAGCGGCCTCCTGCGCATGATCATGGTAGTAGTGGGTTGATTCTCAGGGTAATTTGATCCTCTGGGCACTCTTAGCCACAGCAAGATGAGGCGTACTCTGGGATACTTCCTCCAGAGACACTTTCCGCCAGACTTTAGGCACTCATCGTAAGGGAAAGTCCGCGGCTGGACTGAGTGTTCTCTGAAATCCTGGGCGTGCACTCCCAGGATTCACACTTCCAGCCAGTTGGGCCCATCTGCGGTCAGGCGCTGGATTCATCCCGAGAAATCACTTCTCTCCCACAGTCGCCATCCATGTCACACGGGTACAGCCGCGCCGAATCCAAGTCATCCACCAATCAGCATCCGATACAAACTCCAGGTCACAGAGGTGACGGCACATCGTCGGCAATTTTCTGGGGACCGCCTTGTGTCAATCAGTGGACGTGGACGTGTACCTGAAGAATAATGATCCGCTGGATGGGAATTTGCCGATCGGAGAGCACGGCAAGTGCAAGGACAAGCCGCTGGTCGTGGAAGTGCCACAGCGATATCGGAGCGTGGCGCTATGTCAAGACGGTGTCCGGGCATTCAACGCGCGTATAAAGTTTTCGTCCGGAGATTCAGGTGGCGTTCCCACCGCTTTCAAATCCATGCAATGACCTCATCAGTGGTCGATCATCACGATTCCCCACCTTTGACGATGACAATGGCTGCTCAGCCTACGAGAACAAATATTACCCACGGTATCCAGGAGAACTCTCGTCCGGCAGTCGTTCACAGCGCCATGCACCATCGCCACATCACGTTTCTTCGGGTCAGGATCATTGTTTTCCCACCATCCGTAGCGTTCTCCAGGGTTCAGCTTGTACTCCACAATTTTTCAGAGTTCACCGACCCAGACTTCGCTGGTTCAGGATGCTGATTTTCA